ATAAATAAATAAATCTTTAAAAAAAATTTAATATAAGAAAGTAAATTAAAATTTTTCCACATATAGTACAAATAAGAGGTCACAACCAAGGAGTATTACTTTCTGTCACAGTCATAGTGTTAAGGGGAAGGATGTCCTAGGAACTCTGCAAAGTCTTATGAACTCCACACCCTACTCCAGCTTTCTGGACCCTACACCCTACTCCAGTGATTGGAAACTACAACTCCCAGCAGTACCAGGGAGAGAACTGCGAGGACCTAAGGGCAGAGCTAAGCAGGAATTCTGGGACATTTGGGGGATAAATAGTGTGCCATTGCATCTCTCACTCTCTCGGTGTACTCAATCAGCCTAGCCAAGGTATTCCAGTTACTTTGTATCCCGCTCTCTTTCCCTGGGTTGTTTCCTATTCCTTTCACCTTTTGTAAATAAACCCATTATTGACCCTTTTGTGTGTACCTGCAGTATAACTGAGTTGTGAGCGTGCAAGTGAGGCCCCACACACAGGCAGCCCAGTTCACTCTGGGCTACCCTGTAACAGTAGGAAAAACTGACAAGTTATTTATAAATGCACATTACACAAATTGGAAAAATTGATACTGTTCAATGTATAGATTATTTACATGTATGTTACTGTAGTTTCCTTTATATCCTTTGTCTACTGTTTTAAATCTAGAAGGTTAATGTTTTGAGGCACATTTGTAAGATCCAGTTACATGCTAAAGAAAGTTTTTAACATTTTGGTTAACCTCCCTGGTGGCACAGAGCTATTTCAGCAGACCTCTCCTGTCTAACCCCCTATTCCCTCAGCATTGCAGTTTGGTGCATCTGCCTGTTCTGCTCCCCACTCTGTCTCTTGTGAATTCTCTCACTCCCTGCACTTCTGGCCTATACTTCACTTCTTGTATGCATAAATAAATCTTTGAATAAATGTTTGGTTAACAGATATTAAAACTATTTTCCCCTGATCTCTATCTTTTCATTTTGCATTACTAATGCACTAAAGGATTTTATACAAGTCTATCAATCAACATATCTAATAAACCTATAATTTTTGTCTTTCAGTAGCAGCAGAGCATATATATATAGCATATAGCATATATATATAGCATATAGCATTTATATATAGCATATATATATAGTATATATATAGCGTATATATATAGCGTATATATATAGCGTATATATATAGCGTATATATATAGCGTATATATATAGCACATATATATAGCACATATATATAGCACATATATATATAGTTTAAAGAGTTATTTACTTATGCTTACAGAACTGTGGTAGAGGCCACAGGTGTGGTGGATGAGAGGATTCACTAAAGACAGAGTAGGGAGCAGAACAGGCAGATGTATTGAAGTACACTGCTGAGTGGAGCAGCAGGCAGGTCAGGAGAGGTCTGGGATTGAACTTATGCTGCAGTGGCTTCGGAGAGCTTCATAATGTGGTGCTTTAACCAGTTGCACCACCAGGGAGAGCCCGAAGCAGAGAATATTTTTTAAGAAGAAAGAACTCATTCACTTTTCCAAAAGTTGTTTTCTACAGTGTCTACTTAATAACTCAAATTGAAAACTTGGTATGGTTAAAATGATTGTTTCTGAAAAAGGAGATTATTATATCAGAATATATTAAGAAATAAAGAATTATGTCTTTTATTTTAGTGTTATACTGGTCTCAATTATCTTTTAAAGAAAGCCTCTAATAAGCAAAAGAATGTACACTACAATCAACCAATTCATTGAAGAATGAGAATGAAAAATGTAACATGTGCATTCTTGCAAATCTGAAACATGTACAACAAGAGAAACATGAAAAAGATCTGGCACATCTTCGTTTCCCAAGAGCTATCCCTACCACATCATCACAACTGAGTAGTATCACATAAAGTTTGTAAGTATAAATCTAAGGAAGACAATACTTACTATTCCAAAACTAAGATGATTTCTGATGGAGTTTCATAGACTTCATGTAAATTAATGACCCAAGGATTGTCCTGTGCTAGTTCAAGTACAGCAATCTCATGAATTATTTCCATCCGACAATCTTGGCCTTTTCTTCTTTTTCTCATGAACTTTGCTGCAAATTCTTTTCCAGTATCTTTCTTTATACATTTCCTCACTACTGCAAATTTCCCCCTAAAGTAAGACAAAAACATTCAATGTTAAAGTTGAAAACTTTCTGAGGTATTAAATTTTAATAAAACTTTCCAAATACTCCTCAGTAAGTATTTAACTACAGGTCACATTCAAACACAAAAATAGCATTATCACTCAGGAATTTATTTAGAATACACCTAGAATTGAATCAAATCAAATGAAATTGCAAAAATTCATTATAAGAATAAGCAATTAAAATTAATATACTTTGCAGTTATACATAAAAATAACTTATTTTGTGGCACATTTATACATAATTATTTAAAATTTTTAAAGTCATGACTTTTAAAAGAAATTGATTACCATAAATGCTAAAATGTTGAATTTCATAGTCACTAGCTCTAAAATACTATTACCTTTCAAAATTAGAAATCTTTTACATATCATTTCAGTGATAGCATTGGAAATATTGTTTTCTTAGAAAGACATACAAGCATCATTCTCATATTCCATACATCATTCTCATATTCCATACAACTTGTTATTAAAGTAATAAGCAAAAGTCACAAAGTAGAATCAATTTAGCATATTAAAAGTTATAGAATTAGAGAGGGGCCTGAAAGTCACAAAAGGCTCTGCTGCTCAATTGACATATAACCTCTGACAATTTACTGAACCTCTTTAATTTCCCTTTTCTGTGTTAAGAGGACAATCTATTCCAGAAAACTGTTGTGAAAATCAACCACTTAATAATAATCAAGTGCTTAGTATGATACTTGCTACATGCTAAGTGCTATTATTAAATCATTAAGTTGTGTTAGTCATCACCCATACACTGATCCCATTCTACCCTACATTGAAAGGCAATTTAGAAATCAGTTTTTCAGCTAATGCCAAATGCCAATGGTAAGCCTTCTTTCAAACTGCGAGGAAGTCACTTCCATTCCTGGGAGTATATTGTTAATTATGTTTTTAGTACAGATATAAACCAGAATTTAGTTATAGAGTTTGGGGTTACATTAAGAAGTACTGACTCTTCCAAATGACAATAACAGGAACTAGAACAGAGCTAATATAATCTTTGAACTACCACACTTTTCCTATCTTCAATGACACCTCAGTACCATAAGGGGCTAAAGCCAAAGGCTATTACAGGTGGCGTCCCCTGGAAGGTGATGTGGTATCAGTGGGAGGTGGAGACAGATAGGAAATATGAGGGGTTGCAGAATGGGGGTGTGGGGGGCAATCAGTCTTTGGGTATGGTTTAGTGTTATCAGGATTTTAACAATTTTTTTTTAAAGATTTATTTATTTGTGCATACAGAACTGGGGTACAGGCCAGAGGCTCAGGGGCGGTGAGAGGCTTCACCAGAGACAGAGTGGGGAGCAGAACAGGCAGATAGACGAAGTACACTGCTGAGGGGAGCAGCGGGCGGGTCAGGAGAGGTCTGCCACGCCATGTGGTCACCTGCAGGGCAGGCGGGAATCGAACTCATGGGGAAGGGGCTTTAGATTCTCAATGCTGTGCTTTCACCCGCTGCGCCACCAGGGAGGGCCAGGATTTTAACAATTTTTGAGTTAACCATATCTGTTCCTGATCATGCTGATTTTCCAGAAGGCTAGTGTGGGCCTCTGAAGATGTAGAGAGGCTTCCAACAGCCCACCTCAGAGAAGAAAAATTTGGAGGCCTTGTAGGTAGTAGAGAGAATGAAACTGTTCCCAGCTTTGTTGCTGTTGCAGCCCAGAGGGAAAGGTGAAGATCTTGAAGTAGGCACCTCACTGAGCTATGTGAGTGTGCGCCATTTGTCTGTTCAGCTCCTGCAACTGCTGTTTCCAGTGCTTTTTGTCTGATACTGTACTGGTTCATCTCAGCAGGTCTGGTGAGCATCTCCTATTGCATCGTCTGCTGTTGTTCCGAATTGGATCCCACTCAGCTGGGATCCACATGTTCCAAGCTATCAGTGGTGAGATGACGTGCCATCTTAGATGCTTTTTGTTTAGAATTTCATTAACATTGGATACCGCTTCAGGTGAGGATAAACAGCTGCTTTCCCTGGTTTGCTAAATAAATTCCATTATCGTTGTTCTCTGAGCCTGAGTAGTCTTGCAAATGTCCTCATGGGTGAAGAACTCAGTGACCAGTAAACTATTTGGGCACTATCTTTGGCCAGTTTTAGTGCACCCAGTATCATCTTCAATATATGGCTTATCAAAACTGCTAATTAAATGTGTTAGCCAAATCTGAAGCAACCACTCCACTATAACATGGTTGAGACATTACAGGATTATTAGTTGGTTCAACTTAACACGAGGCTAATATTTAAAAAGCACTAATATTGTTTTTAAACTTGATGATTTTCATATTTCATATGGTGCAAACTACCTACATGTTTAACTTCTTGAATTTTTTAAGCCAATATATTCATACTGTATTTTCAAAATTAAAAATTAAGTGCAAGACCTTCATTGCTAAATTTGATTGCTAAGGTTTAGTTTAGCATTATAGACTAGACTGCTAATATAGTTTTGAGTACTAATTCTTCTTTCTTAGCTACTTAACCACAAGTGATTTTCATGCTGTACTTTTATTACCACTAGTAATAAAAAACAAAATGACAAATCTATAGGCACATCCTATTGTTATTCAGTGCAGAAATAACCTATCAATATTTAACATACCCTTATTCAGATCAAAGGTCACTTTGCTCACAGAAATGTGAAAGGCTTCTATAGATACTGGAGAGGCTTCTATAGATACTGGAGAGACTAAGTCCTAGACAAAGCTATGACATACTAATAATTATACTTCACAAAAATCATTTGGCTAACATCCCTATCAAGTTTTCAAAGATTCCTAATGATCTTTGGATTATTTTCAGAAAGAAAAACATGATTAATAATTATTTTATACCTACCTGTCAAAGAATAATTATTCCACAAAACAGAATTTTTACTTCCTGTTTCTAAACAATACCTATTTTTTTTTGCAATGCAACTTCATTCTTTTACCACAGATAGGAGCCTATTTTGAGATTGAGAAAGTTTTCTTTATGTTTGCTTCTTAGTCACAGAGACATTTACTGAGCTACATATGTGACTTATATTCATTGAGTGCTCCTCCTAAACTAAGTGCAATCTTAGCACGAAGATGTCTTTTAATTCTCAAGACAAGCAATGGTTAGGTAACCAGTAAGTACAAATACCTAGCATGTACAGAATCATGATTCAGTCACAGAATGACTTCAAAACCCATGTTACTAAGCAAGGCATTAAACTCCACAACGAGAAAGGGAACCCAAAAAACAAGCACATTAATTTTATTTTTCAGTTCTAGGCTTTTATATCAACTAACAATCTAACTGAATTCCTCTGCTGCTTCAAAAATGATTACTCTGTGGAGAAATTTATATCATAAAAGAGGAAGTTATCACAACCTTCAAATAAACCTCACAGGAAAGCTAACTTTATAAAAGAGGTTAAAAACAAAAGTTAATGGCCCTCCCTGGTGGTGCAATGGGTTAAACTGCAGCACTGTGAGGCTAACCTAAGCTGCTTCAGCACTAGTTCCACATCCCCACCCCCAACCCCAAGTGACCCACATGGCACAGCAGACCTCTCCTGCCTTGTCCACTGCTCCCCTCAGCAGTGTACTTTGTCAATCTGCCCATTCCGTTCCCCACTCTATTGTTGGTGAATTCTCTCACTGCCCCTGCACCACTGGCCTGTACCCTAGTTCTGTATGCATAAATAAATAAATCTTTAAAAAGCAATTTAAAAGATACACGCTTAGAGAAACATAGTGTCACAATACCTGGTAGGGTGCAAATTATTATTATTATTATTACTTTTTTTACAGATTAAATCCTTTGTTTTCTATTATCTGTTTTTCTTTTGTAGAATTAAGCCAGACAACTCGACCAAATAATGAAAATCTCAGTTGTCCTTCTTCCATAAATCTGAGTTACTCCAGAATGGTTGGAATTTTGACAAATCAGATTCTTAGATCCATCAGTAGCTGTCAATGTCTTCTTTTGTCATAAAGTGACACAGACCTAGCTGTGATAAAAGTGACCAGCTAAGTTTTCCTTTCCTAACTATATAGCTTTCCTTTCCTTAAAACTTGGAATAAGAAATTTTTTTTTAAGATATGGTCTCCTCCCCCACCAAATTCCAACGATTTCTAAAAGTTATCTTATGTTTGTAAAGCAATGCATTATTAACATTATTTGGCTCTTTCCAAGTTCCCAAATGAAAGCCATCATAACTGTCAGGCACTTTCTCTATTACTTACAATATAGAGCTAATTTTTGCAACCATAATATACGTTTACATTAACAGTTAACTGTTATGGAAATATATGTGTTAGTTCCAGTGGCATGTATTTTATAGGCTTGACATTTTCACAACAGCCACATGAATAAGTATGTCATCAAACTGGTTTTATGAGTGAGAAACATAAGATTGGGGGTGGGGAGGAGTCAAAGTCACCCACCCAAAGGAACACACAGCAGGCAGGGATATAGCGCAGGTCTGACCTCACAAAGCCAGTTCGTCGACCTCTCCAAACTTCTCAAGGAGAAAGGTAATCAATAACTCAGCCCTACAGAAATCACTGTATCCCCGTCCCTCCCAGGTGGCTCAATGGGTTATCTAGCACAGCACTGCAGGCCAGCTGCAGCCTCTTCAGTTGGAGTTCCTTCCCAGGCCCCAAGCTGACCCACCAGGCTCAGCAGACCTCTCCTGACCAGCCCGCGGCTCCCCTCAGCAATGAACTTCTTCCATCTGCCTGTTCTGCTCCCCACTGTGTCTCTGGTGAGTCCTCACGCTACCCCTGCACCTCTGGCCTGTACCCCAGCCCTGTATGCATAAATAAATAAATCTTTAAAAAAGAAATCACTGTATCCCACCACCTCAAAGTACAAAATGTAAAAGCGCAACGGTTACAGATACCAAATCTAAGGCTCTTCCTGCAACCCCACTCCAAAAAAAAGTGATGGGAGAAGATGGCAAGCCCTCACCCACACCCCGTACCCCCTGCAGAGGAGGAAGGAAGGAGGAGAGGGAGGGAGAGCTGGAGACAGAGACAAGTCCGAGGGTATATGAATGAGTCCAACTTGGACTGGAGGCTCCGGACCAAATAACGTGAAACTAGTAAAGCATAAAAACAAACAGAAAATATAGTTCGCAGGGACTGACAGCGTCCCACAGTGCGGGCGCAGAGGACGAGGTCAGGCCGGATGTTCTCTTTCATTCCCGTAGCTCAGAGATGCAGCGATCCGGAAGCGTTTAAAGGGCGCAAACAAGGCGACTTTGAACGTCCAGTTTCACTTCAGACTCTCTTACACGGGAAAACGTGCTAGAAGCGGCCCGCGCTCACACATGAAGTTACCGGGCAAGGAGCCACAGCCACCGAAAGGCCGGACCAAAGTGGCCTGTGTTTGGGCCATCAGTCCCGGGAGTCTCTCACAGCCTCCGGCAAAGGAGACTCGCTCGCGCGGCGCCGCAGCGGGAGGCATCGCGGCAGGTGCGCTCAGCTCCACAAATGCCTCCCGCGCCCAAGTCTTCGTGGACCTCAGCGCCGCGAGCGCATCGCACCTAGGCCCGGGGCTCCCGGTCCCTGCTCCCTGCTCCCCGCCCCCCGCCCCCCTTCCCGGAGCACCAGGAGCATCGCACGGCCACCTCCGCGCCCCCAGCCTTGGCCCCGGCTCCCGGCCGCCTCACCTGCCCAGCTCCCGGCCAGGGCTCAGGCCATAGCGTTCCCGGAAGGGCTCGGTGCGCACCGCAGCGCGGATTTCGGTCAGTAGTCCTCTGGCCTGTGAAGCGCCCGGACCCCCGTGGGTCAGTCCCGAACCCGCAGCGAGCGTCGACATGAGCTCGCCGCCGCCCGGCTTCTCCATGGGGATCATAGCGCTCGAGAGCGCTTTTTTCTGGCCGCTGGTCGCCCTGAGCTGCGGTGGTAACCGTCCCACCTTAAGCTGCCTCGGCCGGCCCGCGGAAGTTCCTTTCCCCCGCTTGCCTCACTGCCGCGCGCAAAATAAGGCCGGCGGGCTAAAGGGACGCCCCGCCCCGCCCCGCGTGGGCAACGCCCCCCACCCTCCCCACTTTGTGTCCCTAGGGCGCTGAGCGCACGCCCTCTGCAGCCAAAGGGGAGAAAGTGCAGCTTCGGGGTAGATATTGGCGGCCCTCTTCTGGTCTGAGAACAGAACAAACTTCAGAGCACCTGTTGAGCATATAGGAGTTATAAAACGTGTCTGTTAATGAAACCCTCTGTTAATGAAAGATACCTGAGCTAGAGGACGCAATTACCTTTGGTGGTTGGGAAATGGTGTTGGAAGGCTGATTCTCATCTCAGTTGTAATCCCTGTGAATTTACCACCACCAATTCACCCATGTGCCATCATCATATCCCGTGCACTCTACCCGCCCCAGTTTTGATCCTATTCTCCTCTCTACCCCACTAGAATGTTTCTGGTTTACAGTTGTCTGTTGTTTTTCGTTTTTACTTTATTAGAGTTGCTTTCCCGCCCCTTCCACTCCCCCAACCTTCAGCTTCTGCTATGAGTGAAACCATCCAGTTTTTTTTTTTCTTTTTCTTTCTGCTTATTTCACTAAGCATGATCCAGCTGGTCCTTGTTGCTGAAAAATACATGATTTTGTCTTTTTAGTTGCTGAATAATATTCCACTGTGTATATGTACCACATCTTGATCCAGTCATCTTTTTGGAGTATTTGGGTTGCTTCCACGTCTTCCCTATTGTAAATAGAACAGCAGTAAGCATAGGATGCAGGTGTCCTTTTGAATTAATGTTTTTGTGTCATTTGGGAGAACTAGGAGTGGGATTGTTGGGTCAGATGGAAGCTCCATTTTTAGTAGTCTGAGAAACCTCCAAACAGCTTTCCATAGTGGTTGCAGCAATTTGCATTCCCACCAGCAGTGTAGGAGAGTTAATTTTTCTCCACATCCTTGCCAACATTTGTTGTTGCTAATTGTTTTACTATGCCATTCTCACTGGTGTGAGATGGTATTTCACTATGGTTTTGATTTGCATTCCCCTTATTATAACTGATGCTGAACATCAGCCAGAGTTTGACACCCAACCAAGAGGTGATCCACATGGCACAGCAAATCTCTGCTCCCCTAGGCAGTGTACTTTTGTCAGTCTGCCTGTTCTGTTCCCCACTCTGTCTCTGGTGAATCCTCTCATTGCCCCTGTATCTATGGCTTGTACCCCAGTTCTGTATGCATAAATAAATACATATTTTTTTAAATAACGGTTTTAGCAGAGAACTAAGAATTCCAAAGAAGTATGAAATAGAAATTTTTGAGTTAGTGGAAAAATATACATGCTAAGCTATTGCATATTAAATGGTGTAACAATAGATTAAATACGAGTTAAGACCGAATTGGTAATCCATTAATTAGTGAATTTAAAAAGTTAAAAATGGAAAATAAAATAGGAAGATAGAAGAATATAAACTTAGACAAGGGATAAAATACTTATAATATGTGATACAATATTCTAACACTCGTGTAACTGATGAATTAGAAAAGGAGAGAGAATCATGCAAAGGAAAAAAGTTGAAGAGATAATGGTTGAGAAGTTTTCAAAACCAGTGAAAAACAATTCATAGAATCATGAAACATGAATATGGAGCAGCATATCAAGTAAAGGAAGCGATCGCAAGGCAGATCGTAACAAAGTACTGGATATGAAAGACAAAGGCAAAAATCTTTAAAAAATAGAGAAAAAAGACATGCTTTCAGGTAATCAGACATACTCTCAGGTAATCAGATCAATAGAATGATTACTCATTCTCAAATCTCAGATATGTTGATCTGATTACCTGAAAACATGTCTTTTTTCTCTATTTTTAAAGATTTTGACTTTGTCTTAAAAATCCAAATATCTTAAATAAATTAGCCACTAGCCTAGTATATTAAGTAAAAATATTCTTCAAATTTTAAAGTAAAAAAATCTGTTATTTTTATAACAGTAAGGTTATCACCTGGCCAAAATTAAATGAAAGGAGATCTTTAGACAGACTGAAAATGCAATCACGGAGATTTTTGAAGGCATGAAGAATGAAGAGATTAATATGACTAGTATAAAAAACACTGTTTAAAACAATAAAAATAATGTGGAATTTACATATTTATATATATACCTATGTAGAGAGAGAAAGAATAAAAGTAATAAAGTCTTAGTATGAGAGCTGATAAATCGAGAATAAATACTACAGGAAATAATAGAATTGCTACAGTAACAAGTAAAATAATTTTAAAAAAAGAATAGATAACAAGCTAGGGGTGTAGGATGAAATTATATAATTCAAAAGAAACAAGAAGGGGGGGGGGAAGAAACAAAGCAATAGGCAAACAGAAAGCTGTTAGAAATGTTAAGGGGAAAGGATGTCCTAAAGGAACTCTGTAGAGTTTTGTGGACTGCACCCCCTACTCCAGCTTTCTGGACTCTACCCCCCTACTCTACATCTCCCAGCAGTATCAAGGAGAGAACTGCAAGGACCCAAGGGCGGAGCTAAGCAGGCATTCTGGGACTTTGGGGGATAAATAAGGAGCCATTCTCCAACGGCTCTCTCACTCGGCAACAGGCAATGGGCAATGGCTCTCGGATCCGTGTATCTGGGGGCTATTAATTAGTTTGTTACTGAAGCTCCAAGTCAGCAGATTGGGTAAGATATCCTAGTTACCTTGTATCTCTCTCTTTCCCTGGGTTGTTCTTTTTCCATTTCCCTTTTGTAAATAAACCAATTATTGACCCTTTAAGAGTGCAGGTGAGGACTCACAGACAGGCAGCCCAGTTCACACGGGAACCCTGTAACAGTTTTTGGCACTCAACGTGGAGCTCGAACCCAAGTCTTTAAGGGGAAAGGATGTCCTAAAAAATGCTCTGCAGATTTCCATTAGGACATCCTTTCCCCTTAACAGAAATATTAATACATTTAAACAAACAGGAAGTTTTTTAAGCAATTACATTCAATATAAATGAAATTTATATATTCTCAATTAAATTGCTGATAATTAAAATAGAAAAGGGAGTTTAAAACCATCTAGAGTCCGGATAAAAAACAAACAGAGCTACAAGCTTTTGAGGGTCAGGCCCCAGACATTTTGGGGCATGAGCAGATACACCCACAACTCAAAAAAAAAAAACCTGAAAGGTCACCAGCAGTCATCATGGAGGATTGAAATTTAGCCAGTCATCACTTGACAAACTTTCTACCAATGTTAGCCTTGTTTGCAGAAAGAAGGCATTATTCCATCTCTTTTGCCTGTCTAAGAATGTTCCCTGAAGAGTTCTTTTTTTTTTTTAAGATTTATTAATTTATGCATACAGAATTGGGGTATAGGTCAGAGATGAAGGAACGGTGAGAGAATTCACCAGAGACAGAATGGGGAGCAGAACAGGCAGATTGATGAAGCACACTGCTGAGGGGAGTAGTGGGTAGGTCACCCCTTTGGCTGGGAATCAAACTCTTGCTAAAGTGGCTTTAGCTTTGTAGTGCTGTGCTTTAACCTGCTGTGCCACAAGGGAGGGCCCTGAAGAGCTCTTTTAGTATTCAGCCTCAGCTCTGGCATCTGTATCTACCCTCTCTCACCTCATTATTATTTGAACTGCAAAGCAAAAGTGCTGTTGCTGCTGCTCCTACTACTACTATTCTACCAGTACCACCACCACTACTACTACTACTATCAGGTGGGAGGTGTAACACTTCTGCTGTGTAAATGGCTAAAAATACAAAGGTTGTAAATTGATTTAAAAATAACCTCAGAATTTCAAAATTTTAAAACAATACATGTTGCTTCCAAGAGATTCCTGTAAAGGGAAGTTAAATAACAAGTGAGAGCAAAAGGATGGAAATAATTGACATGTAAATATTATCTAATTTAAAACTGGTATAGCCATTTAACTATTAGACAAGAGAGACTAGAAGGCAAAAAGTACTACTGGAGGGCCCTCCCTGGTGGCGCAACATGTTAAAGCACAGCACTAAGAAGCTAAAGCCACTTCCACATGAGTTTGATTCCCCCCTGCCCGGGAGGAGATCCACATGGCGAGGCAGACTTCGCCTGACCCGCCCGCTGCTCCCCTCAGCAGTGTACTTCGTAGATCTGCCTGTTCTGCACTCCTCTCTGTCTCTGGTGAATCCTATCACCCTCCACATCTCTGGGCTGTACCCCAGTTCCATATGAATAAATAAATAAATAAATAAAAGTACTACTGGAAATGAACAGAAACATTTTTTAATGGCAAAAGGGTGGATCTATCAATGAGCTACAACAATTTGTAAGGTCTTATTTTAAATACAGAGAATTGAAATGCACACAGAAAAATAGCAACAATAAAAAACAAAACAAAACGAAACAAAAACCTGCAATCACATCTTGAGATTTTTAAACTATTCTTCATTGTAACTGATGAAATAAATGGAATATATATAAATATATAAAATATATGCATTTATGTTATTAGCCATTTTAAGCAACACAATGAAAAAATTTTACATAATTGAAGTATATACAGTAATGCAGAATACACATTTTTTGGCACAAAGAGAATGTTCTTGTTTATTTCCAGTAGTACTTCTTGCCTTCAAGTATACTTTGTCTAATAGTTAGTGGCTATAACAGTTATTGAAAATTATTTTAAAGTAAATTATTGAAGGGGTTTGCAGAAGTAGAAACATCAAACTTCTAAGGAAAGTTTGCTTTACATTTATTGAACAAAATGGGTTTTTGCCCAGAGTAATTGAGAGGAAATAAAATAATCTGACTATTGGAATATATGCTACCATGCTTTTTAAAAAAATTTTAATTATTTGGAATAAATAAACCAGAGGTGCTATATACATTTGAGAGAAATAATGTAATTTTTCTTACTCTAAA